AGACACAAGAATTGTTTTACCGAAGTTCGGCCTCCGTCGAGACCTACTCTCCGTTGGGGGGGCTGCGAGCGACCCAACAAAGGTCAGCTCTAGAGGATCACGATGGCCACTCTAACCGGAGTCTTTTCCAACTCCTTTTCCTCCTTCCACTAGATAATCACTTTCCTTGAGGTGGTAGAATCGAACCGTTACAAACTTTCCGAGGCACACTACAAGCTCTTGGGTGCTCTCCGACGATGCCTAGCCATCTAGGACCGAAGAGTTCAAGAGTAACAAATGTAAATCACAAGTGCTCAAGGGTGGCTTGCTCTCAATTTGAATCTCACTCAACCCACAAGATGAATTTTGCAAGTTTAAATCAATCACTCACTAAGACAGGGTTGGAGAGTGTTCTCAAGGCTCAAAAACATGTCTGGAAGTTAGTAGAATCAGCAGCCTCCGAAGGTGGAGGCTAAGGGTTATTTATAGCCCCTTTGAAAAACTAGCCGTTATGTAGCCGTTGGCGAATACCAGACACGTTTGGTATCCGGTATTGGCCGTACAACCCCAACGATCACAATGTCAGCAAAGCTACGAGGCGTCGGAACTCCTGACGATTGCTAGGACTTTCGACTCCCTGAACTCTCGACTCTTGTCGGAACTCCCGACGAGCCAACCCGAGAAAACCGAGAAGGTTACTGTGCCTGGGCAAACACAGGACACGTCCGGTATTCCCAGAGTCAACAAAACGAGTTAGTTCTTTTGGCACTCAAAAACACTCGAACCTCACATGGGTTGGCTTGAGCACGTATGAATAAATATCTATCAACATGATGCATACCTATAATCTCGAGATCAAATGAAAAACGAAATTTAAAGCGCTTGAGTTGATTTCCCTTGAACCGAAATGCCATATACTTCAATGATCATTAAGTGAGGGTGTCAATCATGTCGATCTTAATTTTCTCCTTGAGCATAGCCATCTTGAGCATGTGACTTGGTTGCATTCAATAAATGTGAGTTTACTCCAAATGTATCAAGTCACTTTCCACTAACACATTCAAGATTTGATTCTCCACTTCAATGTGTCAGTCATGATTTGATTAGTACCAACTAAATGCAAGTAATTCCTTCTTCACCCTAGCTAGGTTCCTCGGTCGTCAAGCCGTCACTCGTCCTTCACCCTTGCTTAATACCTCGAACCCTTTCCTTGCTATTTTGCACCATCTCAAGCCATCAAGTCACACTTGGTGTTGAATCATTCATTTAGACCATTTGTGTAGATGTCTTTCAATGTAGCAAGCCTTAGAATGTGAGACCATTCCATATGCAACCCCTCATGTCTGATTAATTATTTGTCAACGAGCTTGCTTTCATATGAATCACCGAAATCCCACAATGAATAAGCCTTGCATGAATTACATTTGCATTGTTGTCTTGTGTTTGAATTAGATTGTTTATACAACAACACATCATTTTGACTTTCATCAATTACCTTTGAGATAACCTATTTCATGTTCAACACTTAACAAACATGCTAGACCTTTAATCATGTTGTCATTCAATCATCCAAAACCCACTAAAGGGCTTATGCACTTTCAACAATCTTTCATTACCATCACTTCCGCTAAATCGCTGATCACCTGCATAGTTACAGAACTGGGAAGAGGTCCAGTCCAAACACATGACTGTCCTGGTTTCCAAGCTAAACCCAAACTTGCAAGCTCGTGCGCAGACGAGTTGGTACATCGTGGAATTAGAGAAATAGCTAAGCACACAAATTCATTAGCTAAGAGGTGCCGAATATCGCTGAAGATCACTCTGCCGCAATGGATCTCGGCGTTGCTTTTCCTCAGACTGGGCACATTTTCACCGAAAACCGAAGACCGAACCGAACCGAAATTTCGGTTTTTTCGGTCTTCGGTCTTCGGTTTCGGTTTTGAGTTCAGTGAACTTTGGTGTTCGGCCTCGGTTTCGGTTTTTGGGTGCCACCGAACCGAAACACCGAGCAACCAAGCAACGTTCAATAGCAAGCAACATAGGCTAAATAAAAGCAGCGAGCCAGCAGCCAGCACACGGAGCAGCAAGCGACAGCCCAGCCCAATAAAGGCCCACCACACTCCAAGTCTCCAAGTTACACGACTATAGCCCAGCCAGCTGCCGCACGCGACCTATATCACTCATTCACTCGTCCCAACCCTATCCATCCATCCACGCACCACGCAAGTTGCAGCGGATGCAGCGGCGACCGATGACGGCAGGTCGGCGGCACTCGTAACCCTAGCCCAGCCTCGGAGTCGGAGGCGGCGCGAGCAGCTTCAGGTGGTGGCGGTGGCGCGCGATGCCAGGTGAGCGGCGACAGTGGCAGGCCGCTTCCGGTGAATCGATAGTTGAGGCCGACGGCAGCGGCTTGCTGGCCAGGCAAATCGGCGGCGGCGCGAGCGGCGCGGCGGGACCTGGAAGGCGAATCGGCTGCGACGCTCGTCTCGAGCAACACTAGCACCTGCGAGCGCGAGTTGAGCAGGACATCGGAGTGGGACATCGCAGCTGCGGGCGGCATCAGCGGACCACTGTACCTTGCTCGATTTGTTCGTTCTGCCGTTCTTCATTTTCCCTATTGATTTGTTCTGGTGTTTGCCTCGGTTGGTTCGGTGGAACCGAAAAACCGAACCGAGCAAACCGACACCGAATTCGTCGGTTTTCGTTTATGTGGAAAACCAATCGGCTGTTGATTTCTGCAAACCGAAGTTTACAGGAGCCGAACAAGCCGAACCGATTCGTCGGTTTTAACCGAATGCCTAGGCTGAGCTTTTCCAACATGCGGATGCGGAGGCGCACACACTCCACCTACGTCTACGTACGGTGCACTGGTGCAGTGCTCCCGTCGTATTTTTGCCGTCCCAAAAAGCACAGGTCCGTCCGCGTCCGATGGGCAGGAGGGAGCGGGGGCGCCGTCGTAAAGTCCACTCCATTCCGACCTCGTGAAAAGGAAGGCATTGTTTGATGATCTACTTCAATTCGCATATATTGAAGTGGAATGAAATGAAATTTAGTTTAATTCCACTCCAATCTACTTCAACAAACATGGATTGAGATAAATACATGCACATCCAAACAGGGACGAAAGAGAACCGCGCTGGTAATAAAAAATCATTTTACTCCTCTAATTATTGTCGTGTGATCTGTTTTTTCTTAAATTCTAAACTTTTTGAACTGTTCAAATAACCTCTGCTATCAATTGAAGTGGTTATCAAGACGATTTATTCTTTTTTTAGTTAATGTAAAGATTCGATAAATAGTTGACAAGATTTTGAATCCATGAAAAATACATATAAACTTCTAAAATTTTCAAAGAAATTCAAAGAAAATCTTAGAGATAGTTTGGGATATGAAAAACATAAATAAAATATTTAGTGCTCGTAAAACTATGTCTAGAAGCCTGAAAAGAAACTACTCTAAGAAAAAGGGGAAGTTATCAAAAAAAATGTAGAAAACTCCCAAAAATTCTAGTTGTTATCTAAATGCGTTATAAAAAATTTTCATGGCAAAAAAAGAGATGCAACCAGCATAAATGCTACATACCTTAATGCTGAATGCATTTGGGCTGTGCATTCCTAACTGTTGTGCCTACGTTTTTTGTTGTGAAAAGTTTTCAAACATGAATTAGAATGTTTTGGATTTTTCTAGAGTTTTTAGATATTTTCGGCTTCTAAAGCTAAATCTAATTTCTAAAATCTTCCAGAAATAACACGAGCTCTAAATATTTTATATCCCAATCTATCTCTAGAACTTTAGTCAGATTTTTTAGAAGCTTGGAGGCGTTTTATGTGATTTAAAGATCTTATCAAGTATTTATACAGCCTGTTCGTTGGTTGGTTTCTGAGCTAATAAGCCCGGCTGGTGCTGGTTTGTTACGAGAGGAAAACACTATATCATGGCTGATAAACCCTGGCTAAAACCAACAAGCGAACATGCTCATAGTTTCTTTAATTAAAAAAGATGAAGCCGTCTTCAAAACTACTTTGAACCTGTGCAGGAAGGTTAATTTGGACGATTCTAGAATTTGAGAAGGATAGAGTATGCTGAACTAATGTGTTACGGGTGTGCCACCACCAGTGACCAAGCTAGAACTTAAGATCAGGGGGGCGGGGGGACATATATCAATGGGGAGGCCATTTACTTTTCAGTTACATGACAAATTAGCTAGGTCATTAGGGGAGTTTTGAGAGTTCAGCAGAAGAATTTCCATGTTAAGTCAAACCGCCCTTTCTATTTTCAAACGGATGGAGTATTTTTTTGTTTTCTGCCTCTTGTCGCGATCCCGATAGTCACGTCTATCACTAGGATGGGCAAGGCCCTAATCTCCTCTGGCTCTGCCATGGACAATAGTGAATAGTCTGATCTCATCATTCTTATCTTGCTCCCGGGCCAACTCCACGCGCTGGCGAGTGGCTACCGATCTGGCGCCTGCCAGTCATGGTCAGGTCAAAGGAATGCACGTCCTCTTCGTTTTCTCCCACCTCCGCTTGTTTCGTTTCATTCGCTCCAGTGGTGGACCCAGAAATTTTGTAGAGTCTGGGCGAACATAAGAATGAAGAACAAGTTCGCATAAACATATCGACTGCTGATATAAACTAAAAAGTATGGTTTTACCAGCTCCTGTTCTTTTTGAGAAAAATATAAAAATAGTTACTTTACAATACATGAAGGAGATTAGAGCCGGAGCCGGTCAAGCCACCAATCAGGGAGAAAGGAAAAGGAGATATCACCAATTATCTCCGTAATTATGACAATAAAAATAAATTGTACATTAACAAATTGCTACCAAAAGTCTAATATAGACTATGTAAGCTCACAGGTATACGCTACATACATTTTTAAACATTTTTATGGGACCGTCGAAGAATGGTAATTTAACTGTTGAGTAAAAATAAAAAATTAATAGTATCTGAGAGTACTATCAGCTGCTTGTTTGTCGCTCTGTGAGAGTCGAGATTCGAGAACCAACGAAGTGATTGATTATGGAGCAGGTAGTGATCGACGTGCTAACCAAGACGCTGCATTCTCCAGAGCTGCGGTGCTGTACTGGCTCTGCTGCCCTGTGTCAGGCGGTCGCCGTAGAGAGCCCGGGCAGGTGCCCAGGGTCGCCGGGCCCTGGGTCCGCCTATGATTCGCTCGTCTTTGCTTCTGCCAATCTGCCTGTATGTCAGCCTGTATTCTGCCTGCCGTCTTCTACAGGGATGAAAGGTGTTCGATGGAATGCCGGTGAGAGGTGCTCATCTACAGACTACAGGGATGCACGGATGTCATGCATGGTGCGTACGTAGAAATTCTTCACCCATGTTTCCCTGCTCCATCCTATTGCCAGTGGAACATCTCGTGTTCTTGTTGCCGCGTGCAGTGGACAAAGTCTTCATCACTAGTTGTTGCATCCTCAAAGCAAAACTATTGATACTAAATGGTGCGTCTGCTTGGGAGACTACTGATGGCTAGTTTATGTATTTTGCCCCCAAATCCCACTGCGCCAGTGTTACGACGATAACATCAGAGTCTCTCGCAGATAATACAATCTCATTCCCTTTGCAGTCGTTCAGCTCTAGGGACCCAGATATATATATGGTGATGCAGTTTAGATGAACCTGCCTGCCTTTTTGTTTCCAAATGAATACATCGCCGAGATAAATTATGTAGTAGTACTTTCAAACACAGCACGGTACCCAAAAATATGCTTTCATTAAAACACCATGTCATTTTTTATCATTTCATCTCTAGCATTAGACATGAATGTCAACACACATGTAATGCTATTTTATTTGAATTGAACATGACTATCTTCTTTTCTGTGCAGAAAGGAGAAGGAATTCTAAACATGCACTTCATCTCTGGTCTATAATCTAGATTCTAGACTACTATTTTGTGAGGGTTGCATCTATGGCCTTCTGCGATGCTTAGGCTAAACACGTTGACATTATCTTTCATCTCTAGCATTGAGACCAGAGAGTGTTCTGTTTGTTGACAAGTCTCAGAAGGAATCAACTAACTCCCACACAAGAATACAAGGTGCAACCCTATTGATATACTAGTAAGTTAGCTGATCTGATTGAAGACAGGGTGATGAGAGCCCTTGGTGTAGCACATCTTCAAGTTCTCAAAGGTCGTCTGGACTACAAGAAGAGCGTACTTGTTGATCCTGAGGTGAAGAGGATCCATGATAGTGCCATCAACACCTGGCTGAATGAGCTGAAAGACATCATGTATGATGCTGATGATCTGATTGATCTCTGTTCCATCAAGAGCCAGAGATCATCCCATAGCCAGCTATCCTCTATGCTGAATCAACGGGTATGCCACAAAGCCCCATCCTTCTCTTGTCTTGGAGACTTTCAATTCAACTGTGAGATTGGTTATAGAATTAAGGACAATAACAAAAGACTCGAAAGAATTTTGAAGGACAGAGTTATGCTTAGGTTGGACAGAATTATCCCTGAGCATACTAGCGTCCCTAATGTAGACATCTGTCAGACTGATTCTTTGCCCGATGTTGTTGGGGCAGATATTGTAAACAGTACCAATGAGATGGTTGAGAAACTGATTGCTTACAGAGATGTGGATTCAAAATTCTGTGTTTTTTGGCAACGAGGCGATGCCAGGAATTGGTAAAACAACCTTAGCTAAGAGGATATATAATGATCCAAGGATAGAGAAGGCATTTCGCATTTCGGCTCAGGATTTGGTTGTGTTACTGAAACTTTTGATGAGATCAATTTGCTGAAGCAGATGATTAGGGAAGCTGGAGGAGGTGCAGAGCAGCAAACCACCAGAGCAGAGCTTGTGAGCTATTTGCCCGTTGCATATATGGGAAGACTGTATTTCTAGTTTTCAATGATGTGTGGGGCGCAAATGTCTGGACTGATCTACTATGTAGGCCTTTTGAACATCAGCTTCAACCCAATGGGATCCTAATTAGTACAAGGCACAGAGCAGTATTACAAGAAACAAGATCAGTACACATTCACCGTGTACTAAAGATGAACGAGGACACTGGCTTAGAATTGCTACTGAAAGATATTTTGAGAAAGCAGGAAATTGAAAAGGTAGAAGATTTAGAGATATTGGAAGACAAATTGTCTTAAAATGCGATGGCCTTCCTCTTGCCATCAAGGTGATCGCTGGTGTATTGTCATCTAAGAGTACTATAGCTGAATGGGAAGGGGTACATGATTGTGAATGGTCTTTGGACGGGCTTCCAGATCGAGTACAAGGGCTATTATATTGGAGCTGCAGGGATACCTTTTCTGCTCAATATTCCCTGCGAGCTCCCAAATTCATAAGGATGCCATTTCTTACTGGTGGGCAGCTGAAGGCTTGGTGAGCCAAAAGGGCAGTCTTTCAATGCATGATGCCACTGAAGGCTATTACGATGAGCTTGTCAGAAGGAACCTCTTGCAGCTACACCCAAGGTATCTTGACAAGAGCAGATCTACAATGCACGATCTTCTAAGGTCACTATCCCAGTATCTGTCAAAAGATGAGTCTATGTTCATTGAGGCGCGCACGATTACAGATTCTGTACCAATGTTGCGCCATGTGGGGATTGCTAATGTTGGAGAGAGACTGCGGGCTGCACTGAAAAAGATTGTCCGTTTGCGTACGCTGGCACTGTTTAACACCCAAACTTTTCTATCATAGATGGTGAATTGTTCAGGAGGCTCAAACATCTTCTCATTCTCATTCTTAGTGAGACAATCATCAGGGCAGTCCCTAAACCTGTGAAGAATTTGGTGCATTTTGAGGGTTCTGAATCTCAGTTTCACAAAACTCCAGGGAATCCCAAAGTCAATAGGGCGTCTTCTAAATCTTCAGTATGTTTCATTGCTGGGTTGCAGTGAGGTTCCAGTGTTGCCAAATAGTATCGCAAAACTATCAAGCCTGAGGTTTCTTCGCCTCAATGAGACTTCGATTACTTTGATGCCACGTGGAATTGGGGGATTGCGCCATCTTGACATGCTCAGCTCATGGGAGTTTTTCAAAGTCCTAATGGATTCAAGCTGGACGAATTGCAAAGCCTCTCACAGCTTAGGCGTCTCCGAATTGATAAGCTTGAAAGAGTGAAAGTAGCAATGTAGTTCTGAATGACAAGACAAGGTTAAAAGAACTAGCACTTGGCTGCACTATAGACAGGAGCATTTCCTATGAAGCACTTCATGGGACAAATGAAAGCCAGAGAAATATGACTACACTTTATGAAAATCTTGTGCCACCACCAAATCTGACCCACCATTTATTCATGGTTTTCTGGGGACCAAGTTTCCATCATGGCCCCAAGCTTCACCATCATCGGCTATTTTCAGAAACATGGAACATCTGCATCTCAACGATTGCATCTCATGCCCCCAATTCCACCAGTTGGACAACTGCCTGATCTGCTGGTGTTGAAGATCAAGGAGCAGATGCATAGTTAAGACTTAAGATGGAGACAGAGCTTTTAGGCCAAGGCATGAGAGAAGGAGAACAAATTATATTCTTCCCTAGACTTGAGTTGTGTTACATATTTGACATGTGTAACTTAGTGTGCTGGTCTTTGAACACACATGAGTTATGCAGTAAGATGCAAATGAACCCTCAGCAGGTCCTGAACTCCTGATGCCACATCTCAAGCGCCTGATGCTCATCAACTGCCTCAAGCTACATGCTCTTCCAGACGGGCTGTCAAAACTAACCAGCTTACAAAGGATTCAAATCGAAGGTGCAGATAGCCTCGAAGAGGTTGCAAATCTGCCTGCAGTGGTCTGGCTCAAGGTCAGGAACAACAGAAGCTTGAGAAGGCTCTCCAATCTGAGGAGTTTGGAGAGATTGCTTGCCCAAGATTGTCCTGCACTAGGAATTGTGAAGATGCCACATTCACTTCAGAAAGTTTTCTTGGTAGACTGTCGTATGGAGGAAGACATCAGGGCATGTTTACCACAACATTTGGGGATCCTACTACATGCTTCAACAACCGGTGGCGATGACAGGGATATGTTTCCTAATGAATCAATATACAACTGAAGAGTTGGGCAATCGGTATCTGTTCCATGTTGCTGTAATGCTCATGCAAGGACTTCCAGCATGGAAAGCTCACTGTAACCTTCTTGATTGATTGATGTGCATTTGACAAAATTTAACTGAATGTCTTGTTCCTTGGTTCTTACACTTGTACAGGTTGTAAAGCTACTTTTCATTACTCTTTTCTTTATTTTTTTAGCAAGAGAGGTTGTAATAATTATCATTTGCGAGATCTCGTAAAAATAATTGTGTTTCTCTCTTTGCATTCTCATTGTTTTCGCCTGTCAGATTGTGTGAATGTATCTGCTTCAACATTGTTTGAGTGATTTTTTGTAAGGGAGCTGGGCCCAATCTGATAAACTCGTGGTTTCATGTTTGTGTACGTATGAGCACTGAATTAAATCGAACCGGCCAGGTACTGAAATATACACAACTCATATTTATTTTTAGTAAAATTACGTAAAAATGGGACAATGACATTACATTACATTACATACATGACATACTCCTAGCAATTTGAATGGCATGGAAGAACAATTCATCCAAAAAATGGGCAAAGTAAAAACGAAAAGACCAACAAGACCTGAAAAAAAAAAGTATACAAAAAAGATGGCATGCATGATGGATGTCACGGCCGGATCGGAGACCTCACACTACTCTCACCGCCGTCACTACAGCCCCCACCACACGCCGGCGAGCGCAAGAGCCGCGGCGAGGCCACCTCCCGTCGTCAACCTCGCCGGCGCGAGCGACGCGGTAGTCGCGTCCGGGGACGCCTCCGCCTCGGGCGAGTCCGCGACGGTCGCCGGCGTCTTGCCCTTCTTCTTGGCCGGCGCGAGCGGCGCGGGCGCGGGTGCTTCCGCCGTGCCGAAGAGCTTCTCCGGCAGCAGCACCTTGTCGATCTGGTAGACGACGAGGCTGTCTTCGGAGTAGAGGGAGTTGGCGACGGTGGCGTTGACGACGCCCGTGGTGATGTTGACCTGCTGGCCCTCGGAGGTGACGTTGAGCGGGTACTCCCCCGGGGAGGCGCTGCCGGCCTGCGTCCGGAGCGGGTTGCTGACGGTGTCGAACTGCGACATGGGGATGGCGGTGGACACGACGTGGTACTGCACCAGCGCGTTCTTGTCCTGGTCCGACAGCGAGTTGAGCGTGCCGGAGGGCAGCGACTGGAACGCGTTGTCCGTGGGCGCGAACACCGTGATCCCGTTCCCGCCGTTGCTGACCTGGTTGTCTATCTGGGACGCCACGCCCGTGGACTTGAGCAGCCGGATGAAGGTGTTGAACTGCCCGCCCTTGGCCAGCACGCCCGTGATGTTGCTGGACGTCGTCGCGGCCTTGGGCGCCGCCGCCGCGGGAGTCACCGGTGCCGCGGGGGTGGCCGGCGTGGGCGTTGCTGGCGCTGCCGTCGGGCCCTGTGCCGACGCCGTGGCTGCCACGACGCCGAGCACCACGAGGACGCGCACGAGTCTCCGCATGGCCTGCATGGTGACTGCTGCTGATGGGCGCGACGTGTTACTTGCTCTGTGCATGCAATGCAGCGCAGCTGGATCAGTGTCGAGGTGGTGCTTGGGATGCCGCCACTTATAGGAAGGTTGGTTGGAGAGGAGAGGAGTGAGCTGTAAGAGAAGGTGGTGGGGGTGAGTCTTACAGTTACAGGGCACCAAACGGTGAGGTGAGGTGAGCTGCCCAGGTGGAACAGCCTAACAGCCATGCTTGCTTCAAGCAGCAGCAAGTGCAGATGCAAGGGGCCTAAATCACAAGAGGGCGGCCCGATTTTCCTCCTCTTTCTGACGATCACAAGGTGGTAATGATGCTGATCTGTGCCTTGTGGGGGAGTGACAGGGTCAGTGATAGGCTATTGTTTTTGGTAGGGCTGATTAGCTGAGAAAAGGTTTGCCAGTTTAACGAAACATGGAACGGGACAAATGAATGAACGAGCAGGACGGTTGATGTTAGCCGTCCGGGTGAATTGCAGGGATAATCCATCATAAATCATAATTGGGTAGAGTTTGTTATTAGACAACTCAAAACAACAGGTGACCTATAGTTCTAAAATTTGGTAGCATGTTTTGTTTTTCTTTTCTTTTTTTCATTCAGGGGATAACTCAGCTTAGGACAAGATTTCTCTGCAGTTGTTCACTAGCACTTCAGCAAGTAGCAACCTTGCTATCACATCAGGTCCTAATTCTTTTGGTTATTTTTTTAAGAAAAAATCAACCAACTTCAGTTAGCTTCACAGACCAATCCAATCCTCATTTAACCAGAGAGAGTGAGAGTGCAGGTTAGGATCTAATCTACCAAAGGCTCCCCCCTGTTCAGCACCACAAAGACACTCTGTCCAGTGTCCAGTGGTGTCACCAAACCAGCATATGAAAGATCAGATCGCCAGGGAATATTTCGGGGACAAAAGTAAACGAGCAGCTGGTGCATTTCTTTCATCATGAATAGCCGCTGCATCTAACAGTTTATTTCTGGGGAGTAGGAATTGGTTCAACAATGATTCTTTCAGCTTTGGCAGGAAACAAAAAAAGCGACTAGGATCGAGATGCATCGCACGACGGGTTCCGGTGTGCTCCGGCATCGGCAGTTCGTCCTGCCACGATGCTAACATCCGATCCAACCGTCTCCATCAGCCGGGTGCCGCATCCATGTAGAGTACATACACGCACATGACCACACATCAGGTCTAAAGCAAACAAAAATTCTTATTCTTACTAGTCTATCTAAGGCCCCTTTTGGAAGGGCGGGGCTTCTCCACCGGCTTAATTAAAAATCCTACCAAGAGTACGCAACAAAACAGCCTTCAGAAGCCGAAAACAAGCAGAATAGATTAGGTCGACAACAAAGAAGAATTCTTATACTAGTCTGAAACGCCAATGAAGAACGGAGTCGCAGGCACACGACAAGCAGGCCACCAAGTTCAGGTCTTCATTCTCAACACTCAGGTCCAACCAGCCCACACAATTTGTATCTGTCAGTGCTCATTCAGGAATTCAATCATCATACTTCAGATACAACTTACTTCCTCTGTCCCAAATTATAAGCATTTCTAGATTCATAGTTTTTAATATAAATCCAGAAATAATATATATCTGGGTGCGTAACAAAAGTTATGAATTTAAAAAAACCAAAACGTCTTATAATTTGGAACCGAAAGAGTACAAGGTCTTCAAAGATTCATAGAAACCAGAATAGATGACCTCACATATTAACCCATCAGACTATATAACATGTTATAAAACATGTTGCCAGCAGTTAGTACCTTCCCCTCTCCGTCTCTCATGATCAAGTAGTAGATAAAAATAGAACGCATTGACACAAGAGATAGGAAGACTATTCTTTATTCCTCTCAATATCTATTATTACAACATAGAGCTCCCACATATATATATAGTTCTGCCAAGGTCTAAGAGTTTTGATAAGAGCCCACATACAAACGGACTAGGATCAGGATTCCTCCTTCTCCTTTCCTTCTAGAATAGAGTCCGTAAACCTAATCCATGTAAGATGCTTCTAAAAAATGGAACTCCTTAGGAAAAAAACACACCTTCAATCCGAAGTTACCAATCACCAATGGTTGCCCCTAAAGCAACTTCACCATCAATTGTAAGGCTGGCACCAGAGAAGTTACCTCGCAACTGATTTCAAGTGTCGGCGAATCCGAAAACCGGGACATGAGCTTTTAACCACTTGATTGATGAATAGTTGCTTTCACAACTGGATTGTTACAATACAACAAAAGAATTTAGGCTAATGTAACCCAAGAGATAACTAATTAATCACCATAGAGCATTTATTTACATGGCTGGCTAGGAGGAAAAGAATGAAATGGCATAATTTAATCTGAGCCTAAAATGAATGGAACGAGGAGCACAATAGTTGATTGCTCCTCTGGTGTTGTCCTAAGCATGCTGCTGCTTTGCACACCGGGCATGAATTCTTCTGCCTGCAGCCACTTCTTGATGCAGTCTGCATGGAAGTCGTGCCTGCATTTCAGTATCCCCAGCATATCCTTGTCTTTGTAACCCTCCTGTCAGAATGCATCCATCGGTCAGAAATAGAATTCAACAGTTTTGGGCCATGGTTATACAATATTAACTTATTAAGCATCAGTTTACACAGGAAGATATTGAGAAAATGTACCAGGCAAATGACGCAGCTTCCATGATCTTGGTCATCTTGATCGATTTGCATCTGGTCAGAACTGCAGCAGACCACTTCTTTCACACACTTTGAAATTTTTTCATCAGCCAAGCCTGTGTTGACATTACCCATAGATTCTCCCAAAGCCAAAAGTTCCTGTAGACAACGAAATATTAGTTAGAAGAAATCTTCAAATTTCCAAAGCAAGACATTTGGAGCAAAATGCAGTACTCCTTACCTCGTAACTCATGTTGTCAATGTCCAGCCTCATGTCCCTGTGGGGGTCAGCAGCTGCTGCTCTTGATTCGTAAAAGATTAACTGGTCCATCATGAACCGCTACACAAACAGCAGCAACATCAGTTTCAAGTTCTACACAACACGAACTTAACTTCATTGAAACAGGGAAGAAAAGGCTATCTACCTCTGCCTCTACCATCAATGGATGAAGACTGTAGTAAGAGCTCCTAGCCCTTCTGTACCTTCCATTGTTAGCAAGTCCTGCTGATACAAGTCTTGCATGTCTAGAAGCCGCAGCAGTTCTGGCAGGTAATGGTTGAGCGATACGCGTGGATGTAGAGGTTGCTGCAGAGGTAGCAGGTGCATGACTCTGAATGACCACCTGATGGGGCATGGCTCTAGAGCCAGATGAAGTAGCAGGAGCTGGATTAGGGTAGATAGGAGCAGTTCCAGCATGAACACTACTAGGAGCATAGCCACCATTAGCAAATATTGCAGCGCCAGATGATCCATGGATAGTTGGGACAGCACCAACACTTGAACTGCTGCTTCCAACCACAGGATAGTAAGCCCTCCCTGTCAGGGCCCTGCTAGTGATACCTGGTGGACCTACAAAACCATAAAAAAATTCTACACTGTAGGTATCAATAATGATAGACTAAATCAATAACAGAAACTGCTATCATTAAAACAAAATGGATTCTTCAGTTCAAACTCAAAAGACATGTATTTCATCATGTTTTAAATCAACTCATGAAAGCAGCTCCTAACCAAAACTTCGAAGGATCAAGTTTGCTTCCACCATGTCATGTTAAAACAATATTAGATATCTAGCATATTTAACTAAGCATCAAATACTAACCTGATGGTACAGTTCTTGTTGGCACAGAAACAGGTGCTTGGTTCCTTTCCACTGATGTACTTGAGGAAGCACTTGCAGTTGAACCAAATGACGGCACATGAACACTGTATAGTGGGTAGGTTGAAGCTGATCTGGGTTCTAATGAAATATTATGACTGTGACGCGCTCTCACATTCCTCTGAAATCCTTCTTGATGAATTAAGTTTAAGTGTTGGCCATCCCAACCACTTTGGTAAATGCTTAAAGGTATTTGACGAAGAAAGGGCTCAGCAAGTGGAGCAGGATTTGGCTGCACAGAGTTAGATGGCTGAGTATTGGAAGAACTTCCAACATAATAACCAGTAGCACTGATCCCCGCAGGGTGTACACTGGGATCTTTTCGCTTTATTGCAGCCCTTCTGTTGTCCATATGGGAACCCACTGGAGCAAAGCCTTCCTCAGACCTATGTGGATAATTCACAGCAGGTTCTGGTAAATGGCTACTGGAACTTCCAGCATGACAATGAACAAAGGGAGCATGTGAGGTTCCTGGGTTCCCAACTCTATAACCTAGAGTTTGCACAGTGCGACTTGAAGATGGAAGATCATTTGATCTAAGTCCCATATTCCCATGACTTGAATGACCAATTCTAAGGGGTGCGTCACTTCCATGATGCAGTAGAAGCTTCTGGCCTGAGATTAGAACAAGAAATGTTATTTATTGTATCACAATTTTCGATAAACTTACACAAGTATGTACTGGAGTCAGTCCAGCTACCTAGTGATTCATTGTGTGGGATGTTCTTGGGTTGATTATGATCCATCTCTGGCAGCTGGAGATGGCCCTGATTATTTCGAGCCATAAAACAAGAAGTCAGGTCTGCCTGCCCTTAATAATCTGGAAATGAAAAACAAAATCGATATCAATAATCCAGCATCACATAACATTAAGACCCAAATGAAAGCATACATTGCCATGACGTTTATCACAAATATTGCTAGGTCACCAATACAACACTACATATATTGTGTGCGTAAGATATCACAAAACAAGTACCAAAATCATTCAAGTTCATTCCATATTCAATATTTGATTTCCAGTACATGGATACAAAAACACAATTCTGAATGAGCACATCGATGGACAGCAAGATGAAACAACACACGAATTCAGAATTTCAATCAATTCATACAACTGAAAATCACACCAAAAATATGGAAGAACCACCTGTGAAATATATGTAGTCCAAATTATTCATCCTTAATTGACAAGCAAATGCACTATAAGGTTTTACACTGAATCATTCACATCCCTTGACAGGTAAACAGCTGGTAAATAGACTACGAAATACTGATCTTGACACTTGAAAGTGTCCTTATCACTCACAATGATAGTACTAGATACAAACTGACAAGGAGATTATCAAAACTCAGTGACATGGAACCTAGCAAAATGATCCACGATAATGACAAATAGAATTTCAGATATACCATAAAGGCTCCAGAAACTAGAAAAATAACCATTTTTTATAAATAGGCACTCAGATTTCAAATAGATTTACAACCACATTGTATATCACATTATTCCTTACAAACTTTTATACATTCTTAGTAACAAATCAAACAAAAATAATTTTTACTTTACAAAATATGTCCAATTAAAGGGAAAAGAAAAGAAAGAGCAGATGCAAATGAAAGAAGAAATGCTCCTAGAAATACATGGCCAAAGGCCCCAAGCTATGTCATTTGTAAACTTCTTGGCGGGTGCGCTTCTGCCCTTCCTCCGATCATTGGTAAATGCATCCTACTCCAAATTCAACAGATATCTAGCTTGGATTTCATTCGGATAAGGTTCATCTTGCAAATATTAATCAGATCCAGCATGCAAAACTGGAGACAAGCTGCAGTTTTTCTCGTGTATCAGTTCTTGCCTTCCAGTTCTACATAGCTGAGAGGTTAGACAACATCTTCCCTATGCATGATCAATTTCATAATAACCAAAAAAAGTGTTAAAAGGATACACTAATAATCACTCCAACTTACCAATATTCACTACAGCCTAACATCATCCTACAAATTACAATGTCAGATTCATGTTTACACTATAAATGAAACACCAAAATAGGTTACAACGAAGGTGCCAAGGCGGTAAATATATGATATGAACCCAAATCCTCATGGGGACAGGGTTAATCGACACATCACATAACTAACCAAATACACCACCAAACAATGTCTCCATTAAACATCATTCAGATTCGACAGCAGCATACAACATTCAGAAAAAAAAAATCAGATGTCTCATACAGCAAAATCACAACCACCACATCCTAATACAGCGAGGACAACACCAATGATACTTGAAAGTACACCGATGACAGGTGCTCAAGAGGTACCGAAATGGTGGAGCTCTGAGAGGAAATCCTACTGTAGCTTCTCCACATCCTATTCGAGTAGTCAAGTAAAACAAATGCAGACACCTATCAGACCCATCTATCTGGAGTTAGCACATTCTCCATCGATGGAACTCAAGATGTCAAAGCAGAGACTGCATACCCAAGGGGTAACTTGGATCGAAACAGTAGGCCCAAAGCCGCAGATAATGGTAAACATCATCCTTGACAGGCATTTTAACAAGAAATAATGTTTTTTGGCCAGTTCGATTCGATACACACAAAGAAAAAAATGGAAACCACACAGCATGTGACGAGTAGAAGCCTAAGATGCAGAAGACATGGAAATGGTAATCAACGCTGCCGATTCGAATAGGTACCACAACATTGCTTTAGTTGCGGAGGCAAGAAAAAAAAAGGAGGGGGGAGTACATCCCCTAAATGGAAAGCACAGGTGCTGAGTTAAAAAAGCAAACTTTGGTTGCAGAATTAAACTCGGTCTCATTCTATTAATTGTAGTCTATCCAGAAAACAATTATGGTAGCTCCCATGATGGTTTACCAGAAAAAAAAAAACATGTATCCGTAATCATGCAAGCCCACATGATAAACAACTAAGCAACTCAAAAATCCCAATCCCCTCAGGCCGATTCGATTCGATCCGACAGAAAAAAAAAATCTCGCTACGGCCGAGCATTTCTAGAGCACGCCTCGCATTCCACGATCGCGGGGCATCAAATCGCCGCCTGTGGCGCTAAAACCGGGAAGAATCCTGGGTACTCGTGTACCCGGACCAAACCGCCGATCGCGTCACGCCGGCGGTCGATCGCGCGAGAACCAGAGGGGAACAGGTGAATCAAGGCGCCGTACCTCGCTGTCGGGCCGATCCGGCCTGGCGCCCCCCGGAATCGGAGCCGAGGCCCACCCGGCCCGCCGCCGGTGGAGATCGACTTGGAGGTTGGGGTTGCGGCGGAGGAAGGAAGAGGTCCGGTCCCCAGAGGAAGCTTCGGTGTCGGAGGGGAGACGCAACGCAAGGCAACCCAACCGCGGCGCGCTGCGTGGCGTGCGTCGCCGCTGTAAACAAAGCAGAGGGCAGAATTTGTCCGTATGACAGACAGAGAGAGGAGGCCAGGAGGGGAACGGAGCGGGGAGGGTGACGGGCCGGCTATTTATAGCAGCAGGGGCAGGCAGCGGACCGCGGGCGGAGAACGGGAAGGAGCGGGGCGGAAGCGGGAAGCGGGAGGTTCGGTGGGTGGGAGCGGCCCCACAGACCGCGAAGAGCAAGAGAGCTCGTGGATAAATTGGATGGGAGACCGCGAAAAGTGGCTTTCGGGGTAGCGTACTGTACGTGAAGCTTTCTCTCCCCCGCCGCCCCTATACTAGTCCCCGCTGGGCCCACGGGTCAGTGGGAGCGAGGGGGCCCCTTCTGGAGTCGACGCGTGCTGGTATACGGTGTATATGGTTATGGTATGGACGGAGTAGGAGGAGGAGATGGGGTAAGACGTGACTTGTATCGTTTCTAGCACGGAGTACGTATCGCACGCAGAGTTTTCCTGTGTCAGCACGGAGCCCTGCTGCTGAGGACAGCTGAGAGGAGGCTGCAGAGCATAGTAGGCTCTTTTCTCGGCGAAGAAAACGATACGTATGCTACCTGTACGGCTGTACGTACGCTGTACAGTCGCCTGTTCCGTCCCGTTCCCCACCCGGCCACCCCCGGAATCCGAGGGCCGCGGGGCCGTCCCCGTCACGTGTGTGTGGCCTTTGGCTTATGGCTTGGGTGCGCGACCGCGTCGGGAGGTTCGGTGGGTGGGAGCGGCCCCACAGACCGCGAAGACCAAGAGAGCTCGTGGATAAATTGGATGGGTGGACCGATAATTGGAGGGCAGGCAGGTCGGCCGTCACGCAAACGCAACTCGCTTTCGCAGGTAGGAGTACTCCCTCACACGCAGCCACGCATGGACCGCGCCAACGAGCGCAACTTGCGAGACCCGCTCAAGTCATCGGCGTTGCAGGTCTGCTGCAGCACGCCTGGTGCCTGGCGCAGTATGGTGCTGCATAAAGCTACCGCCGCCTACTTGCACTCAAATAGCCATGCTATAGGGGGGATGCGATGGAGGATGATGCATTGGTACCGTTTGCAGCTGTGCTATCATACGAGTGTCAGGTCACTCTCGCCCACGCTAAACCCAAACAAGTAGCCTGATTAGCCGAGATATCACCACGTTCGGCTGGCATGCTGTCAACATGTTTCAGCTTATTCTCTCTCATAAAATACTATTTAATCATTCAAAACCATTCAAAATTCAATGTACACGGTACCAGCCGAACACACTAACTTCCAGAGGACTCTTGTTGATTTGTATCTACGCCTAAAAGCACCTGTTTTTATTCATTGGTTGATGGAGGCTCACAAGGTACCCAACACAACAACATTAAACACACCATTTTTGCCTGGTGTTCCCCTCCCCCTCCCCTCCGATCTGTACCATACCTTCAGCAAAGACGGGCAGACGGCGAATACAGCAAGATTAGCTTCAGTTTACTAGTGCCGAAACAAAAATATCTTTGTGCGTTCTCTTTTGCCTCCTCTCCACCAGAGGAGTAAAATTTAGGAATTTGTTCCCATCCACACTCACTCGGTACAATAGTAGGTACAACATGAAGCAGCCAACATTGACCGGCAGTTTCCAGGCACGTTCAAAGAACGTCCTCGGTTTGTTCTAGCCACCACCGCAACGTGACGACGGCGACCTGATCCCTGATTTATTCGCTTCCAGTGCTTTGCTTGCAACATGCGGATTGGGGGTACCTTTCATCAAAATATCCCTGCTGCAACTGCAAGGTTGTTTACGTTGTACAGAACAATACATTACAACCGGGCTTTCGCTAGCGCGGCGGGCTTGAAGCTCGCGATCCCGGTGATCTCTCTGCCGGTCACCAGGCTGTTGATGTCGTACGTGCCTTCGTACGAGTAAATTGGCTCCAGGTCGCAGAACGCCTGTACAAGGTCGCGACAGTTATATATTAGTATACATACATACATTAAAAAAAAAAGGGGTGATGGTTGGTTGATGTGTAAACCACCACTGCAAAAAAGGCAACTAGCCATGAGCACTTTCGATATTACTCCTATATATAGGTCACCCATGACTGCATACCTTTGCCACAAGGAAATCGGCCAAAATTCCGTTCCCACCCAGCAGCTCTCGGCCAAGAGAAACCACCTCGCGGGCCATCCTGGAGTTCCAAGCCTAAAACGCGACACAGCCAGCAAGCCACTGAGTTATCAAAGCGAGAGACGGTGCAAAGAACGAGCATATCTGCCAGCTGAAGTCCACACACAGACAGACCTTCCCTAGGCTAGCGTGGCCTGGAGTCATTTTCCCGACTCAGAAAAGCTTGCAGAGGCGCCAGCCAACAAGGAGCATCGATTGGATGTTACCGAGCATCCGGACAAGTTTCTCTTGGTTCAGCTGAAACGCCGCTAGAGGGACTCCAAACTGTTTCCTTTCTTTCAGATACCTGTTTTGGTTTAGACGAAAGGTACAAGGTAAAATCATCGCCAGTGACAAAAAGTATCAAACGAATGGTGGTGCGTGCGTGCGGTGGCACATATCGAAGACCCCATCGATATGCCAATTGGTTGCCATGCCACCATAATGCGCGAAATAGCAAGGACCTGCTTGCATAGTGAAAGTAGGTAAGCAGAGATTACATCACCGAGCTTGTGATTTGGCATAACAGAAGTAAAAAATCAGGAGAGACAAAAAAAAATGAGCATAACACAAGCGAAATCAGAAAAGTGTCATCAGCACTACCTTGCTGATATCCTGAAATGAGGTGATGCCTGGCAATCGGTCTTCCTCAGGGACAAACACCATGTTAAAAACTATATCACCATTTTGAACCATCCTGAGACCGATTTTGTTCTCAATCTTTGTAGCTTTCAGACCAGGAGCTCCTTTCCTCACAATAAACCTAGAAGCAATCAAATGGAAATGAGGAAAAAAGGCAATGCAAAAAAAAAAAAAAAAAACTCGTCAACGTAAACGACTTCTTAACACGAAGATAGAATTAATGCATGAAACAACGCATTAGAAAAAAAATATGGTATATTTGCAATTAGTTGGATGCTTCAAAAGGAAAGTTCATTGATGGTCCAAGACAAGATGATTTACCCATTTAGTTGTTGTGTATCTGCATTCCTAGCTAATACCACGAGCACATCGGCGAACGTACTGTTACCGATCCAGCGTTTTTGACCATCTATGTGCCACCCACCAGGTGCCTGTCCAAGATAAGCCAATACTTCAAGGTGCATACTACTGCTTGACAATAAAAATAAATGATCCACAAATATTGAATGTCAAGTGGTCACATCTCCACAGCTTACAGCGTGTGCCTTCTAGGTTTTGTAGGATTTAGTTCCAGCATGAGAAGTTTATGCTCTCATTTTTAGATTCAAATGCTTTTTCAAGGAAGATGTGTTTTATCAGATCTATAAATGCACACAGATCAATGGATGATGTCAAAAGCAGTGACTCTGGGGTTCAACGCAAAACTATTTAATACAACTATACAAGTAATCTTGTAGTCGTATATAACCCTGCTCTTCACTTTTACTGCAAAAGGCAGGAAATGAACACTAAACACAAATACCATCTAAATTGGAATGAACAAAATATCCTAGCTGTCCCCAAATCTATATCTTATACCAGGGTGTGCCAAGAGACAAAATGAATAAACTGAAACAAAATAATAAGCTTGTAGCCTTGTGCAGACTGTATTGAAAGTCCTCCTTTATTGATTCTTGCAAAATTCAAATGCGTCAAAAGCTTAACCTTGGTCGCTGTAGTTCTCAAAGAGCTTGCATCACTTCCATAATTTGGCTCTGTCAATGCCTACAGAAGAGAGACCTTTTCAGGAAAAGACTCTGTCATTCCACATTTTTATGCCTAAGGATACTGTAACTTACCCAACAGCCAACAGTAGTAAGTTGAGCAAGGGATGGCAAGTACTTCTGCTTCTGAGCCTCAGATCCACAAAGAGCTGTTCTTCAGACAAAACAGAAAGAGAGAGAGAGAGAGCAGTTCGGCTCCAGCATTTGGAGTAATTGATAATGGTAATTGATAAACCTTCTTAACACAAGATAGTATGGATTAAAAATAAATCCAGCTTTTGAACCTATTGTCACCATCGCAAGAGAGGAGTGCACCAGTATAAATGTGGAGCAGCTTGCATCTACCCGTGCCATTTCTGCCATAGTAACAGCACTGGCTGTAATTGAAAGTCCTGGGCACCCATAACCCTGCAGTAACCAAGACTCGTATCAAACTTTAGAAATATTGGAGCACTAAAACATAAATGTAGATAATACATAATTCCATACACTTCAACACTCCACCAAAGAGGTGACAAAAGGCATTCATGTTAAAGAACAGTTTATAGTAAGTGATCATATATATTCTGAAAAGCCTTGGCAATTGACGACACTAAGCTCATGCAAACTAATCGGTCAAAGCCATTTGCACCTATAACTCTTCTAAAAAATAGAAACTAAAATACTGAAGAGAACCATTAACATAATTGCTCAACTAAAATTGACTCTAACCCGTACATTCAAGTAAATATTACCCATACAGAGAAAGGTAATTAACAAATAAAATGGTAACGACAATGTCAAGAAATCAATACCTTTATTGTACCACCAGCAACACTAAGGCTTGCAAGTTTAGGAATGGCATGAAATGGAAACTCTGCCTTTTCCCAGTACTGCAGTAGCGAATCAATAATGATTATGCGATTGTATAGAAAAGGTTGACCAGGAACTGCTTTAAGGACATTAGGAGTCAAACCAAACTATAAAAAAAAGTGACTTGTGGATAAGTAGATTGCAATGCAATCTAACAAGGTATTATAAAAACGAAAGCATATTTAGCAATGACTTATGTCATAAGCAAACAGTTTTAGATAGTTTAACCCGAGATGGGGTAACCAGGTACGTATACAAACAGACTAGTTAATACTCCAATTTAACATACCGCTGCCATAATGGGCGCGATTTCTTTCTCCACAATACCCCTGACCTTCTCCCTGATAGAGCGCTCTTCACTGGTCAGCAAATCATCAAACTGGTAGTAATCCGAAGCTGCAAATGAGGGTGTACATACTTAAAAGCCAATAAATAAGGCGGTATACTTTAATTTTTGTAATTGAACTGAATAGACTTATTGGGGCTGTGGCTTATTGAACTGAATGTGTCTGCATGTACTGTAGCTGCTGCTACCTGGCTGCTGCAGCTGCAGCTGCAGATAAGTTGCAGCCAGTACAGACGAGCACAGAAAACTGAACTTTAGGTATTAGGATCATATATATCTAGGTTCACACCCCCTAAGCCACATAGAAGGTTGAGTAGTTTAATCCCTGCCCAGAAATGGTCAGGGTGCTGATACTGAAGAATTACAGCAAAACAGGTCGGGAAAGAGGAGGACATGATGGCACAGTTGTGGCTGTGCATTGAAGCTATGAAAGCAACCCATCCAAGAAAGAAAGAGCCTACCAAAACACTAAATATATATATTTATTTCTGTTCACAACATGCCAAATCGATGCTTCTGTGATTGTAATTCGGCTCTAAGTCACAAATTCTAGAAAGCTGCATGACTCAGGGGTTGCACTAGGACTGCAACTGCTTATCTGCATAACTCTAGAATCATACTCTAGAAGCCTAAAACTGTTGAGTACAAGTTCAGAAGCATTGCCATTTAATTGGAAAGCAACCTGCATATCTGCATATGCTGGTGGTCTAAATGGGGCCTATGCAATAATTAAGGGAGCAGCTGGAACTGCAATGAAAACCACCAAACAGTACCAAAACTAGACAACAGTACCAGATGTTAAAATGGCCAGGTAATTGGATAGTTAGCCAATTATATGCTAGTACGAACGTCTCATCGAAATTGGTACTGAAAGAAGAGAGCAGGTTTTCCCATGTCACTGTGCCAATCATTACCTCAAAAAAACAATTGTACCAATCTCAGGGGGGGAAATAGCTGGACAAAACTGAGCAGCCAACCACCGCTGCAATCCTAACAGAGACAATTTACATCACACTCCTTACAGTACTCCGATTCCACGGCCCAAAGCTCACGATCCCCTCACTCCTTATCCCAGCCAGCGAAATTGAGTGGAAAAAAAAGGAATAAAGCACTCACCGGACGGCGGGAAAATGGAGGCCGGCGTGGCCTGCGGGAACGCGAGGGAGAGATCCAACGACGGGAGCCCGACCATGGCGCCGTCCTCCTCCCGCCCATCGCCGCCCGTAACTGCACTAAAGAGACCAGCCAATCATCATGCAACCGAAACGGCAGGGGGAGAGATCACCCGACTCCGCACCAAATCGAGCCGTTCCACAGCGCAGGAAGGGAAGGGAGGTCGACCCACCTCGCTTCCCCGCCATCCCAGCGGCGCAGAGGAAGGGTCAGCGGAGTCCTGCGCGAGGCGAGGGTCTTGGAGTTCCGGCGCAGGACGCGGGGAGAGGCCGGCGGGAGATGCAGGGAGTGCGTGCGAGGTGAGAAAGAAGAGTGGGAGACGGCGCTCTACTCTAGGCTTGATGGAGCAAGCTGGCTCAGCCCCACACGTCAGTGGCAGGTTTGAGGAGTCAGCTGACATAATTGATAGCGGGTGATGACTGATGAAAGCTCAGACACGGCTCCGTACGAACACGGCAACTTCTCGCCGTCCAAGGCTTTGGCGTTTAGTTGGCGAAATTTTCTAGAAAACGGTACTCCGGCTTAGTGTCTAATCATAGTCTAATTAGGTTTAAAACATTCATCTAGTGAATTTCGTCAAAACTGTGTAATTAGTTTTATTTTTTATTTATATTTAATACTTCATGCGTCCAAAGATTCGATGTGACAGGAAATCTTAAAAAAATTTGCAAAATTTTGGAAACTAAACACCACCTTTGTTTGGTTTTGTGATATCGGCTTGTTTGATTTTGTGATATCGGCCCGTTCTGTTTCGCTCAAATTTAACTTATACTAATGATTACGCTAATTTATTGTAAGAGGAGAACATTGTTTTCCTGAAAAACATTGTTATTTTGATGGAGTGACGATATGATCCGGAGACGATGTTATTCATAGATGATTTGGACAAATATTCGTCACAAAAGAATATTCTCTATAAGTATTTAAATAAGTTTACACTCACAAATCTACTAGACAAACATGTCCACGTTTTCTAATCTTTATTATTAATAAATAAATTAAGGATTACTAGTATATTATATTATTACTTAGGAATTATAATGGTATAAGATTCATTTTGATAAGTGCTAATATGTTGACCGATGCCTGTTTTCTGTGCCAATTAGGCTGCCAGAGGTGCTAATTAACATATTTATTTTTAAATTAGTGATTATGATGGTAAAATTAGTATTAGTGTATATTTATTAGTATAATTGCTTCCTCTATTTTTTACATGTCACATTAGCTTTGTCCTATGTAAGCATTACTATCTTTGGCCATCCATTTTTAAAATTCTTGTAATTATATATTATGAAAATGTTTGAATCTAAAACATAAATCTTATACCATGAACCTATATTTTTAATTGATGATCAAATATACAAATTTTGACTTAGGACAATCCTAATATGACATGTAAAAATAGAGAGACTAGTTACTATTATTTTAAAATAATAGATATAATTATTCTTGTAATTATATATTATGAAAACGTTTGAATCTAAAAACATAAATCTTATACCATGAACCTATATTTTTTAATTGATGATCAAATATACAAATTTTGACTTAGGACAATCCTAATATGACATGTAAAAAACAGAGAGACTAGTTACTATTATTTTAAAATAATAGATATAATTATTCAACTAATTTTACATCTATTTTCATCCATCCAATCAAATAGAAAAATCGTTCGTCTCATCCAACCAAACAAACAAATAGCATGTATAAACTCATCTTAAAATCTATGAATAGCCATATTCCATCTACTTACTTTATTCTTAGACCAAACGCATGTATCACTTCTCCCTATCAATCGCGCTAATTTGAATACGTGCGTGTTCAGTGTTCCCTTCCATGTGGAGAAAATTACAACCTACTCTCGCCTGCAAATTATATGTCCAAAGTGCATCACTTCGCTTTCCGTTAATGTCAGCTTTGGTGGATAAACCAGATAATTCCAACCTCTACAACGACGATGCGATGTATGGACTTGTATATGGGGTGCTATTTTTTTTCACTTCATCCAAGGCTTACGAATAAGTCATGAAAAATCAGCTTTTGTCCAATTTTGCGAGTTTGGGATTTGGTCCAAACGATGGAGGTAAATCAAACTGTACGTTTCGGCCTGTTTCATCTACCGTGGTCATCCCCACAGCTTTATTCGCCTGCTTCCGCTTATTCGTCCTTCTTCTAAGGTCGCACACATCTTGCAGACGCAAAGGTGCTTTGGAAGACTCATGCATGCTCCGCCGCGTCGTTGACCACCGTAGTAGTAGTACTATACCACCAGGTACCGGCCGGCGGGCCGCGGTAGTAGTGGAGTATATATATACGTACTATGCGTGCGTACGTACGTGTATCCTAATCGTAGCTATTATGGTCGGTGTATAGTTGCTACAAGCATGCATGCTTGTGTGTAACGGTCAAATAAGGGCGGGCTACAAAGTTTTGTTCTTTGCATTAATTATAGCCATATAGCTAGCGCCCATATATGGTAGGTGTCGGTGTTTGTATCTGCTAAGTGCCACTAGGAAGCACCCGTCTGCTGCAAAAATTTGGTGCCTGCGCATGCATGCCAACAAGGTTTGCAGCAGCCTTCTTCAGCCCGATATATAAAATAAAAAAATGCAACTTTGGTTGTCACTGTACTTGTATTACATTAATCATGAAATGTTGAGCCACATACATCAGTGTACAATACCCACATAGTACATCAGTATACGACTCACGGATCGATATGCAACGCAAGAAACATCAGTTGGCACGAATACAGTACACGAGCTCTGCATGCAAACGACGACCTATGCAGAATAATATGCAGGATACATACACACACGTACACACACACACATATATATATATATATACACACACACACAAGACCTGCGCTGTGCGTGCGCATCGATCGATGGATCGATCAGCCGCGGCACTTGAAGATCTTGCTGCAGCCGCGGGTGTAGTCGTTGGCCGGCTTCCCGGGGCGTTTGGCCTCGGGGCCCTGGTTCTTCTCGCAGTTGCCCAGCACCTTGCAGCTGAGCACCTTGTCGTACGATAAGTACTGCCCCTGATCGACACCGGCGGCCTCCTGCGGCGCCGTCGCCAGCAGCAGCAGGCACAGCACCACCGCCACGGCCATGGCCAGCCTCGCCGTGTTGTTCGCCGCCGCCATGGCTAGCCTCGCTCCTCCTCTCCTCTTGCGATGGAAAGAAATTACGAGGAGCTAGAGCTTAGGCCCTCCTCTTGCGATGGAAAGAAATTACGAGGAGCTAGCTAGCTAGCTTAGGCCGGGGAGGTGTTTTTATTTCTTGTAATGTGATGTGATGATTGACCGGTGCAGGTTTTGTAGAGGCTGCTTGGCTTAAGATATCAGTGGATGAGAGCAGATGTAGGGTCTCCATGTACTATGTTTAGAGAAACGCACAACACAGGGTTCTATTATGGGAAGCAGGAGTTTTCCTTGTTTAAGAATGGGGAAAGAAGCTCGTGATTCTTTTGTGGTCTGGGCCGGGTGTTCCCTTTGTGATAGATTAGCTAATAATGATGATATGATATATATCATTCTCTTGTTGAACACAAGTCAAATAAATGATGCTACAACAATGTTGAGAGTAAATGAATGGGATAATTGTCCGGCGGACATCCAAAGTGATGGTCGTTTGCTGGCGGACACCCACTACTACAAAAAAATGTTTGTAGCAACGGGATAATTTTTTTTATAGGGACAGCTGGTGATGGAGCCGCCCCTACACTGGGTGTGCTCAGGACCTATGAGACCAGCCACCCCTACAAATAGCACAGTAGGGGCGGCTGGTGATACAAGCTGCCCCTACAAATGGGTCGATTTGTAGGGGCGGCTCACTCACTGGCCGCCCCTGGTGTTGCAATTTGTAGCACGTACAAAAGGCTGCAACCACCGGTCCAAATCAGCCCACTTAGAAACCCTAGACTATATAATTGATACCCCTCCATCCCTCTTCCTTGTTTCCTTCTCCCTCCCTCAGCCGCACCTCTCTCTCGAGCGCGGATCGAACGCAGGATGCGGCCCCTCACCCCCGCCTCAGCGTGCCCCATCCGCCCGCCACTCTCTCTATCTCCTCCCTCCCTCAGGCGAACACAACTCTATCTCTCAAGCACGGGCCCGACTTGCGCGCGTGGCCCCGTGCCCCCGCCCGTGCCGTCGTCACATCCGCCGAGGAGATGGGCTCTGTCCTCCGCCACCACCGTCCTCCGCATCGGGACCTTGTCTTCCGTCACGGCCGCCGACGTCCACCGCATCGTGACCCCCACCCTCTGCCGTGGCCGCCGATGCCCTGCACGCCAACCTGGTCGCCCCCTCTCGGGAGATCTGGGAGCAATGAAGCTTGCATCGGCCCCGATGCCCCTCCCGCATCGGCCGCAAGCAGGAGCCACCGACAGCGCCCTCTTGCGTCAGCCGCAAGAACCACAAGCAAAAGGTGCGCCGTGCTACCTCTCCCTTCTCATGCCCAACGAGGTTTATTTCTAGGGACCAGAGTGGATCTAATATCTCGATTTGAATATCTTCCATGTTCCAGTGCTAGCCTATCCTCAATACCTTCTCTGACCTAGTACTAGCTGGTGATTGGGAGCAGAGTAGCTTGGGTTTTTCAGAGGCACAGATCTAGTGCTAGCTTGTGACGGGACTAGAGAGGAGTATTTGATTAATACCTAATGTTGACGGATCTAGTATATGACGGATCTAGAGCAATATAAGTTGAAAAATTTGTACTATCGTAGGTGAGTATTTGATTAATACCTAATTTTTTTTTATCAAATAACGAACATTTTTAAACCATGTTTTGATCAGTCATGAATTATAACCAAGTCGATTTGGTTAACTGAATTGCAAAACTATGTTTTATGACAACTTGCAAAGATAGGTCGTAGTTCAGTCTTGCTTCTGTTATAGCCATCTAGCTTCTCTAGTATTTTTTTCACCTACAAAGCTAGGAAGTATTTCAGTAGTCATGCTTCTGCACCCAATACACAGTATGTGTATTGTTTCAAGAATGATGATGCTGAAGTTCAGTCTGGCATCTTGTCTGCAATATTTTTTGTAGGCATATATAATTTAAATTTCTATGATGGTTAGTGTACATCGACGGATGATGGTTCAACATGTTTTTTTTGCGCCTTGTATTGTTTACCGGGTGAGGTCATACTCTCTGGATTATTTTAGAGCATG